AAAAAGGACTGATGTCTTTGAGCTGTGCTGTTGGAGAAGAGTACTGAATATCCCACGGACTGCCAAAAGTACAGCTATGTCTTAGAGAAAGTGCAGCCAGAGTGCCCCTTAGAGTCAGTGATAACAATTCTTCATCTCACATACTCTGGGTGTGTTGCTAGGGAAGGCTGGCTGTTCCTGAGAAAGGGACATCATGTTTGGAAAAGTGGAGGGTCAGCAAAAGAGAGACCCTCAATGAGATGGATTGACACCGTGAGTGTAACAGTGGGCTTGAATGTGTTCGAGACGATGAGGATGGCACAGGATAGGACGGGTCAGATGAGTCATTCACAGGGTCTCTGTAAGCTGTACAACAACAACAACAACTGTTGAACCTAGGAGTCCTGGTTGCATAGTGCCTGTCAGGTTTGGTTGTTAGAAGGTTGATACTTTTAATCCACCAGCTGCTTCTTTGGGGGAAAAATGGGCAGTGTCCTCCCATAAAGACTTAGAACTTCAAAAACTCCATGGAAGATCGCTATAATTTGAATCAACTCAGTGGCGGTGGGTATGGTTTTTTATTTTTGTTTGATTTTTTTCTTGTAGAGTCCATCACACTGGGTAAATAGATTGTAACAGTCTGTTTACTTCTTCATCTTCTCCAGACCGAGTGTATCATGAGAGTAGGCAGAGACCAGGTATTCTCATTCACTTCTATGTCCCCAGTCCAAGGACATTGTTGAGACCTAATTAGGCAAATCACTAATCAGAGGATGGAGGTGGTAGTCACAGAACCCCAGCTTCCCTGCAGCCTCCAGGAAAAGGCCCCAGTGCCTGCTTCTGAGATGAATCCGCTGGTATACAGACCTTTACTGGTGCCCACTATGTGCCAGGAACTCACTGTTGTTAAATGCCAGGAGGTGATCTAGCTGGGAGAAACCACAGTTAGGAGTACCAGGCAGGATGCCCTCTAAATAAGCCCTGGCCTTGGCTGGGCATCTCCCCCAGTCTCAACCCAATGTACCACCCCTGGCAGCTGTCTCTTCTTACTCACCAGCTCCCAGCTTCAAGGAAATGAGGCATCAGGGGGAGCTTTCATGCCTTATTGTGAGCATAAACACTGGCTGCCAGAAAACATGACGTCAAATGCAGGTCTGGCTGGCTGTGGCCTTGGGCAGGCTGGCTGTTCACAGACCTGTTACCCGGGGGGATGGGGGGAGGGTCACAGTGAGGCCAGGAGGGCCAGCATAATCTCAGAACTGCAACCTCAGGAACCCCAAGACTCATTAGATGGTTTCGTCTACTTCCAAGCTGCCCATGACTTGAAATGGTTTTGCTTTTCCAACCCGTTAGAGTCGGAAGTGAATTTGCTGTTGCTCTTCTTGGTAGGGAGCTTTGGTGGCTCTGTGGTAAGGAGTTGTGCTGCCAACTCAGAGGAACTCAGTTTGAGTCCACCAGTTGCTCTGTGGGAGAAGGATGAGCAGTCTCCTCCCAGGTGATTTGTTACTGTTGTTGTGTGTGCTGAAGGCACACAACAACTCACAGCTGACCCTCCAGGGGGTTTTCAGAGGCAGTAAATCACATGGGAGGAGACTGTCCATCCTTCTTCCATGGAGCACCTGGTGAATGAGAACTGTGCACTTTGGGATTGCAGCACAGCTTCTTACCACTGGGCCACCAGAGCTCCCCAGAGAGCTCTTCTAATATCAGAATTACTATTACTACTCGTCGCTGTTGGGTCAGAACTGACTCACAGCTGCCTCTCTGGTGGGTTTCTCAAGCTGTCATGCACACAGCTGGAAATTGCCCATCTTTCTCTCTTGGAGCCACTGGTGGAGGACTAGTTAAATATTTGAGTCTCTCTATCCCACATCATAGAGTAGAACTGCCCTAAAAGGTTGCAAGGCTATTTAGCAGCCCAATACTGAATACACCCTCAGGTCTCTAAATATTACAGCCTAAGAAACTCTGTGGGAGAACCCACAACAAGAAATAAGCATTAACTATTTTTAAAATTTTTTATTTTTAAATTTTTATTATTTATGTGTGTGAGTACCGTCAAATCAGATCTGACTGGTACAGGAGGAGATTGTTCCTCCTTTTCCAGCAGAGCATCTGGTGGATTTGAACCGCACACCTGTGGGATTGCAGTGTAGCTAGCATTAACTGTTCTTGTAGTGATGATTTTGTTTTCCTGGCTGTCACCTGAATATATGTCATTAAAACTCTGAGAATACCTGGCAGCAGTGTCATATCTATCATGCCCAAATATATACTGCATGCCAAGCATTTGATAGAATCTTAACTTAGTAGGAACACTCTGCTAGATATGAAAGCTGTACAAGAAAACAGAGATAGTGACCTTTAACAAATGCCAGTCCCTGGACAGTTTTCATTGGATCTTCCAGATTGACACAATCTTTGGATTGACACAGCCTAGCCTGTCAAAACTGAGGAAGAGTTTGATGCAAAAGATCAAGGACTGCAGCCTTCAATATGGATTGCATCTCAATGTCAAGAATACAAAAATCCTCACCACTGGGCCAATAGGATCATGATAGATGGAGAAAAGATTACAATTATTAACTGCTCAATTATCATCTTGCTCAGATCCACATTCAAAACCCTTGGCACCAGCAGTGAGGAAATCAAAAGACAAGTTGCTTTAGAAAAGTCTGCTATCAGGGTCCTCTCCAGAGTGCTAAAGATCAATGATGCCAGTCTAGAGACTAAGGTGTGCCTAATCTAAGTCATGGTCTTAAATGCTTGCTATGCGTCAGAAAGCTGGACAGTGAATAAAGATGACCGAAGAATTGGGGAGCTCTGGTGGCCTAGTGGCAAGGAGCTGCAACTACAATCTCAGAGGCGAATGATTCAAATCCACCAGATGCTCTGCCGGGGAAGGAGGGACAATCTCCTCCTGTACCAGTCAGATCTGATTTGACAGTACACGCACACAAAAGTAATAAAATTTAAAAAAGAATTGACACCTTTGAGTTGTGATGCTGGAGAAGATGATTAAACATACCATGGACTGCCAAGAGAATAAACAGATCTGGCATGGAAAGAGAGAAACCTTGCCCTCTTGGAGGCAAGATTTTTTGGATGGAGCTCTGTCTCACACACTTTGGGCATGTTGTCAGGTGAGACCAGTCCTTGGAGAAAGACACCGTACTTGAAAGGGTTCAGCAGAGGAAGACCCTGGAGGAGATAAATTGACACAGTTGTGACAATGGGGTCAGGTATATCAGAGACAGTGAAGTTGGTTCAGGATAGGTTGGTAAGGTTCAGAGCCACTGTTCATAAGATCCCTATGAGATGTTGTCAATTTGATGGCACATAAAAACAATATTCTTACAGCTAAAGGATGAAGAACTTCTAAGGGGAAACTGAGTTTTAATGTGTTTGTTGGATAAAGGCATGAATAAATGTCTATCGCCATCACAGGGAGCTAAGGTAGCCTAGTGGTAAGAAGCTGTGCTACCATCTCAAGGCATGCAGTTCGAATCCACCAGCTGCTCTGCAGATGAAAAATGGGAAGTCTTCTCCAATATGATTTACTGCCTCTGAAAACCCACTGGAGGGTCAGCTATGAGTTAGTTCCAACACCACAGTGCATAACCACAACAGCATCCCCATCATAAAGAAGCAGGATCTCAGCTAGTGAAAGAAGAGGTTTTCCTAATCCTTGACATTAATCTTTTTCCATGGCTACACCTTGGACCCGCCTGTCCCCTTTTGGCTGTGTTTGAGAATGCCTAGGGATTGGATGACTCTGTTTTTGCTGTGAAATGTGAAAAGCCAGCCTATTCGGAATAACATCTGGTGCTTGATCAGACTATGAGTTCTCTGTAATATGCTCTTAAATTTTTGCCAAAGTGAAACTGACTGCATGACCTCAAAGCATTCCTTTCATTTAACTTGCACAAGGTCAGGCAGGTTGTAAGGGGAGGAAGCAAGATGTCCATCAATCTTCTCACACTGGAGCCCTTGTTTGTTTCCATATCCAGAGGTTCTCACCCTGGAGCACAAGGACACACGTTGTATGCCAAACTGTGTCACAAAGGTGCAAGGGCACTTTTCTAGGGAGGTTCAGAGCTTTCACCACATTCTTAAAGAAGTTTATAGTTAAAAAAAAAAGTACCTTCATTTTGTCTTGTGTATCTATTTATTTTTAAACTTATTTGGATTAGTTCGAAGAAAAAGGAAACAAGAAAGAAAAAAAATGGTAGCGACAAAATATAACCGATGTCAGATTTAAGGGAAAGAAGGCTAGTGTGTGGAAAATCCCAAGCCCCCTTCCATAGAGTGGATTCCGCCTCATAGTGACCCTCATCGGGTTTCAGAGCCTGTAAATTTTTATAGGAGGCATGCCCATCTTTCACCTGCAAAGCAGTTGATTGGTGAGAGAGCCCAATACTAAGGAACTGTGCCACTGAGGCTCAAGAAGCTACACTTCCAGGATTAGAATCGAGATCTATTTGCTCGCACCAATTCCAGAATTCTGTCTACCTTCTCTAGTTATTCAGTCATTTATCACTTATTCGTCAGATTTGTCGGAGCTCCTGGTACATCCTAGGCACCATTCCAGACTCGGAAAATGTGCGAACTCTTGGTATCGCAGAGTTCATATTCTAGTGGGGAAGACCGATATAACAAACAACGTCGATAATGATGAATGACCTCAGATTCCGTGGAATAAACAACGCAGGGTCAGAGGCTGGCGAGGAAAGGGAATGACACTGTCGATTGAGTAATTTGTGTTAGGCTACAACGACGTATGCTGAGCTTTTATGCCTGAAGCAAAGAGAAAATTAGAGCCTCCAGCCCGGTCCACGGCGCATGCGCGCAGATTTTGACAAGTTCCAGTTGATCCGGGTGATTAGTACGCAAGCGCTATGATTAGTACGCAAGCGCTACGTGTGCAGGCACCGCTCCATAGGAACTTCCTTTTGAGGCTGTGGTCCCGCCTCTTCACATTTCCGTTTCCGCAGCCTGCGTTTGAGCTGTGCAAGAGAAAGATGGCGATGGCTGCTGTTTCCCGGGCCTCCGGGCTGCTGGTTCGGGCCCGGCCACAGCTGGGGCGGTCTATGGCGAGCGGCGCTCACGGCCGGGAGGGCTCAGGTACTGGGGAAGGAAGGGGTCGGCGGGGCAGACCTCTGCCCTGCTCGGGCGAGGCGGGCCGGGACTGTGACCTTGGGGAGAGACGACCCCAGGCAGGCCGCTCTGCACATCTGAGCGATCGCATTCTCCCCGCAGGTCGCCTGTGGAGGGCCCTCACCTTCTTCGTGGCGCTCCCCGGGGTGGCAGTAAGCATGCTGAACGTCTTCTTGAAGTCGCGCCACGACGAGCACGAGAGACCCGAGTTCATCCCCTACCCACATCTCCGCATCAGGTCCAAGGTACGTACGCCCTTGGAGACTTGTTAGGAATCCGTTCACATTTTATTCCAGCCACCCGAGTCTAAGTTCTTTACTTCCAGAACCCTGGGTGCCAGGCACGTCCCGTTTATCATTTATACCTTACAAAACAAAATGTATTTGGAAAATGCGTAAGACGGAGCACATGCCTATTCAACAATTTTTTAAATAGGAAATTCAGTAACTGGTTGCATTTGTCACATATATCACTAGCCTCGTTATCTATTGCCCATTTTTCACCACTGTTGACTTATTAGAGTCACCACTTCATCTACACGCTAGCTTCTGTTTTATTTTAATCTCATCACTTGTTAGGTGCTGACTACTTGACTCTTCCTCATCAAGACCCTCGATACAGCAGATCGAAAGCCCGTAGGATTCTTGCCCATCCTCACAGCCTCTGCAGTGCCCAAGCTTTGTGTTAAAAGTTACCATTTCTATCTCTTGAAGGTCTTCATCTCTTTTGTTGATCCTCTGCTTTTCCAAGCATGATGTCCTTTTCCAGAAACTGGCCTCACCTAATCAGTGTGTCAGAATAGCGCAGTGCTCACAGCCAACATTCTGCACTAATTCAGCCAAACAGTTGTTCACTTGTAAAGATGATTTTGGGGGTAATTCGAGTCCATGGCTTTAAGATATTACTCTGCAATAGAGATTGATTTGGGGATTCTTCATAGGATTGGACAGAGTTTTATTATGTTGTACATGAGTTGAGCATGACTTACAGGGACCCTGTGAACTAAAGACTGAAGCCTATGACTATCGTCATTTCTCAAAGTTCATGGTTTCCAGAGCCATGGTGTTGAGAAAGTGGATGCCACTCCTGCTTATGTTGTATAGAGTTGCTGTAATTTGGAGTTGCTGTAATTTGAAGCCAACTTGACAGTACCTAACAGTAGCAGCCACCACCAGTCTCAGTATATCCAGGAAGTCTGGTTTCTATAAGAATATAAAATTCTGTTTCACATTTCCCCCTTTTGATCAGGATTATTGAGAAACAGGGCGCCTCTAGTTCTAGCTTCCTGTTCAGGGGAGAAATTTTGGCCTAGTTCTATTTCTGTTCCTGACTCTCTTTCCTCTGCTGCTCCAGGCAAATAGAGACTAGTTGTGTCTTAGATGGGCCACTTAGAAATTGTTAAAGCCGGCTGGCACTATTCACTGAGTCAAAGAGTAATTAATTAGACCAGTTGACTAGACACACACAAAGTCATGACCCTGGTACCTTTGATCCAGCAACTGATTCAATAAGGTGACAGACATTTCTTTTTCTTCAAACTAAGACTTGTGAGCCACACCTCAAAATTGTTTTTCTTCTTCAGGGTCAGATGGTAAGTGAATTCCTTTAAAAAGTTTTTATTGTCTTTTCATCATCCTTGTTCCTGCCTTTGGCTAATGCCCAGAAATAGTTGTCAGTTGTGTGAAACTTGAGGTTTGGGAATACCCCTTAAGACTGGCAGTATGCACCTTTCCAGGACCTCGGGTTCTGCTGCTGTTCTAATTAATAATGAGGAGACTGACAGTATTTCTTAACCCCTACACCTCTATATGAATTATCTCAACTCTGATTGTTTGGCTATTAGTGTAGATAATAGCTACTGTTAATAAACTGTTACAGGGATTTGTTACCACCCTGCCTTCATAAAGTTGTACTGACCTCATAAAGATTTAACTGAGATCAGTAGGCTTGGAAAAAATTTTGGAATATTTGAGCCTCACGACTGATATTTTAGGCCAGATGATTCTTGTCCTTACTGTAAAGAATCCTAACGATGCTTGTCTTAACTGATGGGTTGGTAGCTCAAACTCACTAGTAGCTCTGTGGGAGTAACACCTGGTAGGGTATTTCCGTAAAGCCCCCAGCCAGAGGCTCACTGTATCCTGTCACATAGTGTTGTTATGACTCGAATCAGTGCAGTAGCACCTCATAACAGTGCTTACTGTAGACTGCGGTCAGCCTTTGTAAGACGTTAAGCATCATCCCTGAACTCCTTAGATGTCATACTTGCTAAGTGCTGGTGAGTCAGAACCAACTTCTAGCTCACTCTTTGAAGAGTTTTCAGAGATAGTAAGTCACACGGCAGGAGATTACCCACCCTTCCTCCTTGGAATGGCTGGTGTATTCGAACCAAATTCCTTGGCAGTACAGTTTCTTACCCACCTGGCCCCCCGTGCTCCCATGATATAACAGTCCCCTTAAAAAAGTCTCTAAACATTGGCAAATGTCCCCTGGACTAGCACAGTTGCCCTAGTCTGGAAACCATTGTTGCCAGGTAATGCTTTTTAAATGTAGAGGATGCGTTACATTTTTCCAATCCAGAGATCGTTTCAGGTATGGAATGGGACTGCATTTTAAAGAATTTCTCATGGTGCCACTGTTGTAGAATGAGGCTGGCATTGGGGTGGGGGTAAGACTGAGAAAAACTGGATGAAATATGTTTACGGCATTGAAGTCTATGGGGG